CTCTATTCATACAATTGTGGGAAAATTCAGCAACCAGCCCTTCAATACCTTAACCGAAATAGGGTAAATGCAGTACGTGTATCAAATTCGTATTTTGCCAGTAGAAATGAAGAGGTCACTTATATACACAATTATTAGTATTCTATACTATCATTAGATTTTTTATAAGGTCGTTAGTCATCCTAGGTCGCATAAGGTGCTGATGGAGTGATAGTAAATTTCCCCACAATTAGATAAAAGGTGTCATCAAATTCCACTAAGCTTTACTTTTTCAAAGCTATTCTCATTCAACCTGGATAAATTTTTGGAAGCGAAGCTAATCGAGACTTAATGAATTGTCCATCATCCATTTATGCGACGTAGAGTGACTGCAACTATTATTCAAAGTCCACTCATAGTAGCCAAGACTACTCACTGTGAATTTAAGTAGCGTTGCCGATTCTAGTGGCCAAAATACAGGTTTGCCACATCGGAAATCCCAAAACAAATTAAAATGTGTGTGAGGTACGACTCTCCCTGAAATTCACACCTACCATGTGACAGCCGTGACAATGTGGTGTGGTGGTAACAACTCAAAATTATATGCTGTACTGCCCAGCTTCGACTCGCATTGGTAAGTTGAGACCGTAGTCCAATACGGCCTGGATGAGTACACCTTTTGTGGCAGTGGCAACGATAAAAGAACTTCATCCGTATTGTGCGGCCAACTCGAAGCATTGTTAGCAATCTCAACAATCAGTCCTCCATCAGCTTATACGAGACCTTGAGGGATTTCAGCTCTTAGTCAATGTCTACAGATAGTCTCGAAATCTACTTAATTATGAATAAATACATACGGTTGCTGTCAACTGATGTTAATTTGTTAAACGAAATCAATGGGCCACATTGTGGGCTCACCCATTCTTGATTCTCCCTCCTTGCTGCACGCTGGGAGTACACTCAGACGCCCCTTTTTTGGATTGAGGCGCGTCAGCGGGTCTCGCGGTCGGCGCTACGCCATTTGAAGACGGTCGCGGTGTCTGCACGGCTATGACCTCACGGACCAGCACATCAACCAGTTCCTCCGGCCTCGAAGGTGCTCATTTTCGGAATGACACCAACCGCCTCTCCGCAGGACTCCACGTTGAACGGATTGGCGTGTCTAGCAAAAGGGCATCTCGACCGATCCCGACGGGAGATGATCGAGATTCGCTCCTCCAAGCAGCACCGGTCGCCGGGACTGTCACCCACCGAGTCAGCAGTTGAGGGTTTAGTCATGGACCGATGCTTCTCTGAAGCTCAAACTTTTCCGAGCCGGCATTGAGAGACTGACCAGAAGGACGCGGAAGCAGTTGCCATGTCGCCTGGACAAGAAAGCACAGCGACAGCTCCGCTACAGAAACACGCTTCGGTCCGTTTGCACATACTCACGCACATACGCACATACACGTTCATTAATCCCATGTAGATGTGTTGCGTCCTGAAATGCCACGTTTGGGCTGCATAGCCATAACGTATGCAAGAAAAGTTGGGTTTCGAGGAATCTCTTGTTTCATAATTGTTGAGTTTACTTCCATTTCGAGTTAAAGTGTTTAATGAAGAGATTCGAAGGTCGATCCGACCAGAAGACGACGGCGGATTCCTCTTGACCAGTTGTCGATTGGCTTTACTGGAACATTCATGCTGACGTTGTTTCCGAGGCAATCTCCTTCGATTCCCGTGAAAAGTTACTAAGCTTTCGTCCGTCATAACAAGGTAACATCGTCACAACCAAATTCAAGCTAACAAG